CGGGATTTCCTCTTTTTGTCTAAATGTTTAGCATACACTGCGTGAAGATCATTTTATAACATATTTTGTAATTTTTTAAATACTTCTTCAGGTTCCTGATTATGATGCCCATAGTCATATACATGGTTGTTCGATTGATTCATGGTTCGGGGCACCAAATGCAGATGGTAAATAGTTTAGTGCCAACGCTTTTTGCTGCCCAAACCGCAGATCATCGGGGCCAGACTGAGTTCAATTGTCAGCTTGAAGGGATTTATGTCCAACAAGCGAACATGCAAATTTTTCAGTTGGCTTATCACACAATCAAATAACTGTTTCATCCTCAGAACCAGCTGTAGTGTCATATCAAAATAAATCAGATCTCTTTCCTTTTGACCCGATTTTGCGCATCAGTTTTGTGATTGCACCCCAGCTTTCACTGATGACAACGGAAAATGTATATTCGTTGCACATCCAGTTTTTCATTGCCATTATATACAAAATTGTCATTAAATCACCCACGCTACAATTTCTTGACACGCTTTCAATGCACTCCACTCGTCCATTGTTTTTTTCAAGATGTCTAGTAAAATATTGGCCAGAGTATTAGTATTCATATTATTGAAAAGGGCGGTGCCGTCTAACGAGGCCATGAAGCAATCTTAATGATCATATTCCTTCAGTCTACGTAGAAACACCTTTTTGCCCCATACTCCATAAGTTATCCCCTTAGCGGCAGGTTTCAGTAATCGATGCAACTCTTTGGCAGTCTGGTAAATTACTGTTCGCCTAGTTGGTATGATAACACGCATCGAGTTGCCAAAGTTATGGAGTTTTACTTATCCGTAAGATCTTGAAGTTATACAGAATCATTGCTAGGCAGGATCATTTGTACACCTTGAGTGCTGACCTTCCTATTTTGTAAATTCCTTAAAATCTCCAGCAGCTTCTGGTGCGTTGTCCTGTTGGGGTTGGCGTTCCTTCGGAGTTTAGTGTTCACATCGCTATTCCTGAAGTGAAACAACATTCCTTCTTCATATTTATTGAAAGGCATCACCATTGTTTTCGCTCTTTTGTCAGCGCAGAGGACTGTTATATTGTTATCCTATAACTTTTTCTTCAGTCCTTTAATAGCCGCAGCATGGCAGGCAACCGGGTTATGACGAGATTTATGTATGTTTTTACGGACAATGAGGCGACGTTTGAGATAATCTCTTCTTTGAGGTATTTCAGCCTTTCGTTTGAGTGCAGGATTCCTTTCTCTACACCAACTACAGTGTCAGAGATGAAACCAGTAGTGCTGGAAATGCTGAATCGGGACCCGGCGCAAGTACGTCTTGTTCAGCTTCCGTAAACGTAACGCTGCTCAAATTCACCTGTGCTGTCACAGAAATTCCAATCTGGCCTCATCCGCTGGGTGGATATTTCCATAAAACGTGTAATCAGATCTTGTAGATTTCTTTGCTGA